GTGTGTGTGTGTGTGTGTGTGTGTGTGTGTGTGTGTGTGTGTGTTTCAGGGCGAAAACATCTGGATCGTGCTGGACGGTCCGGTGGACGCCATCTGGATCGAGAACCTGAACTCAGTTCTGGACGACAACAAAACTCTGACGCTGGCGAACGGAGACCGAATCCCCATGTCGCCCTGCTGCAAGGTGACATCACAACGTCTGTCTGACTTTCTGTCCGTCCATAGGTCTGTCTCTCTCTCTTTCTCTCTCTCTGTCTTTCTCTCTCTGTGTCTGTCTCTGTCTCTCTCTCTGTCTTTTTCTCTCTCTCTCTGTCTCTCTCTCTCTCTCTCTCTCTCTCTCTCTCTGTCTCTCTCTCTCTCTCTCTCTCTCTCTCTCTCTCTCTCTGTCTGTCATGTGTCATGTTTTTGTCTCTTGAACCAGATTTGAGTCCAGACTCGTGAGGACTTAGGTTCTTCTCATTCTGTCTGTTTAACTTGAAGAACTCTGTGATCCTGGTCCAGAGGAGACCTAGAACCTGAATCCTACAGAAGACAACAGAAGTGAATCCATGTCCCTTGTATCCCCCCCCCCCCAGATTGTCTTTGAGCCCCACAACATCGACAACGCGTCCCCGGCCACGGTGTCCAGGAACGGGATGGTGTTCATGAGCTCCTCGGTGCTTGGCTGGACCCCCGTCCTGCAGGCCTGGATCCAGCAGCTCCCCGAGAAGCAGGCTGGCGTCCTGCAGACCTGCTTCAGCTGCTGCTACCAGGTGAGGAAGAGGAGGAGGACTCTTCATCATTCTCTGAAGGGAAACGTCGATGTGTTAGATTAATAACTTATATTCGTTTGGCTCTAATGTCGTTTTCTGGTCCTCCTTCAGGACCTGCTGGACTTTGTCTCCACTGCGGTGTCTCCTAAGATGCAGGTGTTGGAGTGTATGTACATCAGACAGACGATTGACCTGCTGCAGGTAATAAAGCACAGTGTGTTTCTGTTGAGTGGTGAGATAACGCAGAGAAAACCTGTTTGGAAACAGATCAATGTAATACAACTTAAATTGTACAAAAACGTTTTTATGTTCAATTGTTTGTTTTTTTTGTTGAAAAAGAGTTGATGCTCTAAATGGATTCTGAAATAGATTCTGATTTAGTGAACATTTAAGTCATATGACTGATCAGCTGGATATGTAATTATATTGTCTTTGTCTCCAGACAACAGGAGACTAAGAACTATTAAAGCGTCCTTTATTCTCATATCAAAGTGACTCCTGGAGATGTTTCTAGATGTTTAGATGCTGTTTCTGGTTCAACCTCCACTTCTTCTTCTTCTGCTCTGCTACCTTAAAGTGTAGCCTACAGCGCCACCTTCTGACCAGACTACACTGTACAGCAGTTCATTTATTTTTTTGTGTGTTCAGGGTTTGCTCCCGGCGGCGGATGAGAGACCGGGTTTCCCCGGTGACGTGGGTCGGCTGTTTGTGTTCGCGGTCATGTGGTCTCTGGGAGCCGTGCTGGAGCTGGACGACAGAGCCATGATGGAGGCCTTCCTCAAGGTCCGTCTCCACCGCCGTCCTCATTTACATCAAAGAAATTCGTACTCACGTTTGTACGATTAATTGTCAACTAATTGATTTGTGGATATAATCGACAGATCTGTAAAGTTCCTCCACAAAGAATCACATTAAAACATCACCAGAGATGTGCTCATCAATCATTCAGCATAAAAAACACACTTATCGACTATTATTTATTACTCCAGATTATGTGTCACTTTTTATTTTTCATCTGAAGGTTTACCTTCAGGATCATCTCAATGTTCAATAGTTTGTTCATGGACCAATAAACAATAGAATAAAGTTGTGTAAACGCTGTGAACACAGTCCTGGAAGGTAAGAGTGAGAGGAGGGACATTCAGTTTGTTGCAATCTGCAACCTCACCACTAGATGTCACCAGAGACAACACAGCGTCCCTCTAATGTTCTGAATACTTCCACCACGAGAGACGGATGGAAAACCACCCGGTCCTTTAACGTGTCTCTGAGTCTACGGTGTGTCCTATGGGGGGCGCTAAGTCTTTGTTTGTTGTTTCTGTTTGTAGAGCCACGGCTCGTCTCTGGACCTGCCTCAGACTCGGGACGAGCAGACCATCTTTGAGTTCACAGTCAACGAGCAGGGACAGTGGGAGCACTGGTCCAACAAGGTCTGTGGTCTCTAAACAACTCTGCTGTTCCACTAAATGTCTCCTCAAGTAGCAGAGCAACGTATATCTTTTCTCTTCATTAGAAACTAGATAGTATTGTATTCATGTGTTTATTATTGTCCTGGTGCAGGTCCCAGAGTACGTCTACCCCAAAGACCACGTCCCGGACTACTCGTCCATCCTGGTTCCCAATGTGGACAATGTGAGGACGGACTTCCTGATGCAGACCGTCGTGAAGCAGAAGAAGGCCGTGCTGCTGATCGGCGAGCAGGGCACCGCCAAGACCGTCATGATTAAAGTGAGTACAGCGTGAGACTCGCATCATGGCAGAGAGAAGAAAACATTTGACTACTTTCCACATCGTGTCCGGGCCTCGTGTCTCTCAGCCGTCCAGTATTCTCCTTCTTTGCTCTTGTTTTTGGTCTCCTCCACCTCCTGAGGGAAATATCCGTCTCTTTAGCTGCTAAATGCTCCACTGTGTTCACCAGCTGGTCTCTGACTGAGTCTGTCTGATGCTCAGCTGGTAGTGAACACCTGAGCAGGATTATAACTTTAACATTTTCCAAATATTAAGAAACATTCTGCTCTCAGTCTCCTGTTAGAAGACGTGAAATTGTCTGAGAGACGTTCACTTCAGTACAGTGTTCTTGCAGCATCTCGTTGGCCGTGACAGAAATGTGAACACTCGACGTTCAGCCGCGTTGTTTTCAGTTCGGCCTCGTCCCGAGCTAACGGATGCTAACACTAGCTGTTTCTCTGTGGCTCCCCCTGCAGGGCTTCACCGGTAAGCTCGACCCGGAGCTCCACCTCAGCAAGACGCTGAACTTCTCGTCGGCCACGCTGCCCAGCATGTTCCAGAGGACCGTCGAGAGCTACATCGATAAACGAATGGGCGCCACCTACGGGCCGCCAGCAGGCCGCAGCATGACCGTCTTCATCGATGATATCAACATGCCCGTCATCAACGAATGGGGGGACCAGGTCGGCTTCATGCTCGCTCTGATTGGTCGGCTCGTTTCCGTTTCCTTGCTCTCTTTGTTTGATGCCTCTTTTTCTTCATTTCTAATATTTACAAAAAGTAAATCCGTTATCTTTTATTTTCAAATATTACAAGAAAAACAGATTAAATCTCATTCTGTTTACTACAAATAATTAATTAAATATAATAGAATTATTGATACCTTTGCCAATGCAGTTCTAGATAACCGAATAAATGATTAGTATTTATTTTTAAATTGTGTTCACATTAACAAGAAATCAGATTGTGCATCTCTTCGTCTTCCTCAGGTAACCAATGAGATCGTGCGTCAGCTGATGGAGCAGAAAGGTTTCTACAGTTTGGATCGTCCAGGAGAGTTCATCACCGTGGTGGACGTTCAGGTAACAACATGCAGGCAACCTAAAGCTGCATTCTCTCTAGTGTCCACCAGGGGGCGACTCCTCTGGTTGTATAGAAGTCTATGAGAAAATGACTCTACTTCTCTCTTGATTTATTACCTCAGTAAACATTGTAAACATGAGTTTATGGTCTCAATCTCTAGTTTACACGTTATTGTATAATGACAACAAACAATGCTTGAGCAGCACAGTTGTGTTGGAGTGCGTCATATTAAACGTATGTGTACATTGTGTACTTCCTGTGAAGTTGCTAACGTTGACATTGAACAGCTGGTGGCGGCCATGATCCACCCGGGCGGCGGTCGGAACGACATACCCGAGCGTCTGAAGAGGCAGTTCTCCATCTTCAACTGCACGCTGCCCTCCAACTCCTCCATCGACAGGGTGTTCAGCACCATGGCTCGGGGCTACTTCTGCCCAGAGAGAGGCTTCGCCGCCGGGGTGTGCGAGCTTGCCGCCGCCCTCGTACCCACAGCCAGACGGGTGTGGCAGGCCGTGAAGGCCAAGGTGAGATAGTCTGAGATACACATTACTTACATATCTTGTGTCTCTTTATCTTTAATAGTCGTTTCTGTAACTTTGGTGCTTTTATTAATATTATTCTTTCCTGCATTTGTAAAAGATGGCAGAGAATACAATTAAAAATATAGATTTTCCACAACAATATCGAGGGGACATGTTGGAATAAATATTGATCATATTATGACATTAATATTGTTTGATTAAAGAAAACAAACAAGTTAAGTATAATTTAACAAACATTTGCTTTTCTTTGTTCAGATTTCCACTTTGATCTTTATTTTTCCCACAGTTTGACCCTCAGTGGCCTCCGTAGTTTAGTTTAGTGTTTGACTTTGTGTTTGATCTGAACAGATGTTACCGTCTCCGGCCAAGTTTCACTACATCTTCAACCTGAGGGACCTCAGCAGAATCTGGCAGGTAGGAACGTTACAAAATCTTTACTTTATCCATTTATTGTACAGTTTATTCATTTATTGTTTTATTCATTTATTTTACAGTTTATTCATTTATTGTTTTATTCATTTATTTTACAGTTTTCTTGACTTAATAGAGTCATGGATGGTGTTATTGACGAGTCATGGATGGTGTTATTGACG